CTGTTCAGAGGCATCTGTTGATTCCCACAGGCTGACATTGTGAAAATATGTCAGTCTCTTGTGTATTTCAGTCCCTGCCAAACACAGCACGAAGATCTGCATCAATAATCTAATTGTTCGGCATCCCGCGTTGTCAGGGAGTTCAATACGACCTATTGCCGACAAGTTCTTTAAAAACAAACGCTGACAACCAAGTACTGCACTGTGGTGAGGGCCCGCTACGGGAAGTGTGTTTGTGTGCACATCACAAGTTGAACAGATAAAGAAAACCAAACAAATACACCAAAGTGGAGCCACACCAGCGGACTCGTCTGTCAGCTGTCTGGTCTAGATCCGGGGGTGAGTTTGGGGTGGAGAGAGAGAGAGAGAGAGAGACATGACGGCGAGATGAGATACATCCTGTTCAAGAAAGAGCAAGAGACTAAAAGAGAAATGTACAGGACTCCGTCAGTAGGCAGGTTGCAGCGAAGTGCAGGAGAAACACCGCAGAAAAACTAAAAATAAACTCACATTTGTCAAACAACTACCTGCCTTTTCACATTTTATACGACTTTAGTGTTTAGCCTCCCATTTTTCTGAGAGGCTGTGAAAGGTATAATGCTTTTGGCCCATGAAAAGAAAAAGGCAATATTTCTTTGCCATATTCTGCAGGAAAAACCTCCTGGAGCACTTGGAAAGTTTAATGTATTCTGCATATTGAAGACCACCTTTCCAGCGTCAGGCTGTTATGCAACAGTGAGGTGTACAGTCTTTCCATTTTCCTTCTCAGAAGTACACTGATGCCACCAAGTTCAAATGTAATCTGAAAAGCAGATAAAGCTGAAGGGCTGACTGAAGCAACCCAAGTCTAAGAAGTTGTTAAATTATTTTTGAAGAAGAGACAAATTCATGGGCTATATGATGTAGTAGATATGATGCCAACATATTCCAATAGAAATGCATTCCATATACAAATGTAATTTGTATTCAATGTATTTGTCTGTCGCGGTAAAGCAATAACTGAAGTTTTTCCTATGGCCAGTTTACAGTGAAATATCATGCGCAGAAACGGTTTTGGTACAGCGTTTACGCTTCCTGTGTGTCGAGTGGTAAAACGCAGGTCATGAGCGGAGCACAGTAAAGCTGAGTTATGAGGCTGGCAGTGCCCTGCGACATTTCATTACTGAGTCACAGCCTCTTCTCACATGCCAAGTTCTGCTGCGTGGAGCGACACGGACGCGGCCTGAGAAATGATACGCCAGATGGACTGCGGCATCTTTGACGGTAATGTTACAAAACAAATCATTTTCGGCCCGATCAGATATCAAGTAGTTAAATGGAGGGTTGACCGGCTGCACACCGCCAAAATACCTTTGGACCAATGCCCCGTGTGTCTGATGCTGTGGTTGTGTAGAATGGGCTAAACCTAGCAGGGAAATCGACACGTCAACTAAAAACAAATGAATCAATGAGCGTATAAGTCAACCCACCAGAGACCCAGGGGTTCCCCCACTGCATGAAATACAAGCAAGGGGGAGAAACGGAGAAGACCACAAACTCTGCTGAGCTCGGTGTTCCCTTTTCACTTGCATTATGGGCTATTAGCAATGCCAAACCCCCCCAAAGACACATCGCTTCATTTTAGAAGGTAATTTGAAGAACAACAGGGAAAGGGAAGAGGGATTTGATTATATGTATTATATGATCAGTTATTGTTTACACTTTCAGGGTCCGTCAAAACATTTTATAATTCATTCCCATTTGTTGATAAAAAAAGATGCTCATCAAACATTAAATGTAAAGTGAGTTTAGGTTATCTTACTGAGACAAAAGTATAAACTCCACATTGTAGTAAACCGAGATGAAAGGAGAAAACTGCCACTATCACAGTATCCAGACAGCCAGATGAGCCATATGTTTGATGGCAGATACATTGACTGGCTCATTGTCAGCAGATTATAGAGCAAGATGGAAATAAGCAAAAGCTGAAATTTACTGCTGCCTGCACCAATGCATTTTACAAAGTAAGATGCTGGCTAAGGGAATCTCACAACCAAAGGTGCCTTAACCACAAACAAACATTACCATCCTGTCATTTACCATCCACATTCCCTGAAACGTGTGTGTCATATGCAGCAGCATTCAGCAGTAAAGCAAGTGAGGGAGAAAGGTGCTCGGCAGGATCATCGGTAAACACACAGCAAGGACATCACATTTCGCACAAGTCAAAGTCTACAAAAAGTTACGTTTTCAATAAAAGGCTACGTTTCGAAATGTCTCACCGCACGCAGAGGGCTGTGCATTTCAACAACTAAAATATAAACATTTAAGATTAACAAAGCAAGGAGAGAGAATTTTGCATGTCTCCACTACAAAGTGAGCCCAATGTGCAACATCAGTTTGTGTGGTCCGCTGCATCTGAAAACTGTTAACCTCTGTATTTTCCTTTCGGATGTACTGATATCAGAAAGCATAAATACAGCTGCAACCGCTGCATGACAACGTGAGTATAAATGCTCACATATGATGAAAAGAGCCACATGAACGCTGAAAGAGGGTACAGAACCTGCGTCGCGTGCGCGTGTTTAGTCAATTGAAGTACACGCGAGTGACGCAGACTAAACAGAGCGGGAGGAAGTTTGGGTATGGAGCTCTACGCTGAACTACAAAACCTAACCACAACACAGTGACCCCGAACGCTGGAGGCAGGACCGAGCAGCCATTGAGACACAAGAGCATCTTCTCTTGCTTCCAAATATTTACACTGCAGCATAATACAGCCTTCACAGCCAGACGACTCGACGCAGTCATTAACTGGCCTTATTTCTCATCCCGCCGACCGAGCGCTGTCACACAGAGGCATGCATCCCATAAACTAAGACCAGTTTACACTTTATTAAAGCGTCTACCACTCCCTTCTGTCTGAAATGTGCATAGACTAACATCCTTTAGGCGTTTAAACATTTAAATTGAGGCTGTTATAAACTGCATATTGGCAGTGTGAAAGCGTTTTTCTTGGGCCAGACCTATTTAGGGCTGCAAAACATTGTGTAGGCATCACCAGCATCAGCGCATGTTTATAATCCCATCAAAGGAAGTTTAATGCCGGCCAATCAAGTCAAACGCGACGTGCTACGGCAGTCCTTAGGTAGTCCTGATAGGTGGAGTAACAATCTCATAGGACCCACATTTCACCATGATGACACAAACACTACATCAGTAGTGTAACACACACACACACACACACACAAATATAGGCTGGACGAATTTGGGTAAAACCTTAGGAAAAGCTTGGTATATTAGAGCCAATTTCTGCAGGAATAAGTATTTTTGAGCAGTACTTATTGATTTCCTCATAGTTTATGTCAAACTATGCTTTCTGCTGGACTGGGTGCCAGGGATACGTAAAACAGGGCGCAGCACCACAAACACGTCACAGAATGACTCACTTCCATTGAGCGCGGATGAATCACGATCCCCAACTCTGGTGTCCATTCAAACTGTCAAAACTCTAATAAACTACACCAGCAGCACATGCATAGTCCAAAGGCCCTTCCCTACCAGCGGCTGACAATGTGTTGATTAAATGTGACCATCTCTGTAATCAGCTTCCATTAACATCTAACGGGGAGGCCAGCAGAAATATTATGACCATCTGTGAGCCAGATAGAAGCAGTGAGGCAGAGAAGGAATCCTCCCCTTGTACGTCTCTTCACTTTGAGAAGCTCCATATTCCATTCAGTGAGGGAAGACAAGAGAAATACACCCCGTTCCTGTATCAATCCAGTAGATCATGCACCTGAGACCAAGGGGAAAACCAACCGGTGCATGGTTCCCTGCAGTCAGGAATAACAGCTTTCGAAATCTAACATTGCTTGCTTTTACAAACTTGGCAGCGCAAGCTCTGGGGGAGACCCGACGACATACCGCCAATGACCAAACGCAAGCAATGGTGGGTTGTTTTCATTATTAATTTAAACATCAAAGAGTAGCTGTCCCAGATGCATGTTCCAGACACAAGGAGGAGCTGCGAAGACGCCTTTCTGAGAAGTTAGATGGGGATGAATTTGGTGAAAACCAGGCAGTGGGTGTGTAAACGCACTCTATGCAAATTATAATCCACTGCCTCGGCGAAAGGGGGTCCCAGTGAGGGTGGCAAACAAACTGCAGCACACTTTAAAGTCCGCTGACTCGTATCTACGAACTTCAGCGAAGGAGATATTTCTAGAACAAAGTCGGTCTAATTGCATATCACAGTGAAGAACACGGCAGGATCAAAAGGGAATATAGGTGTAGAAAGCATGTATAAATGTGGTACAGCTATATAAATATTAAATAAAACTAGACTGCACCTGGGGAAATTGGAAATACAATGCAGGAGGCACTTGTGACTGAAATAGCAGAATGCAAATAGAGTGTTGGGCTTTAGTTTCTCCTGCTGGATATCGATTTAAGCTTCATTAATGACATTACAGGGATTAGCCTTGGCCGTGTTTCTGGACAGACCTGTAGCTACGTGAATAAATAGAAAAGGTTGGAGAGAATCAATGGGGCTACAAAACTGTTTTTCAGACACATTCAAATTATAATCCCACAAGTAACCAACCAGCACAACAGGTTCATACTTTGTATTCAATAGGTTAATCATATCAGTCTGCGCTTTGTTGTCATTCTAAATGCTGAGGCTTGCGGACCCCTTGCCAATATTTGATATTCCTTATCAAATAAACGTCCACGAGCAGAAGCCAGAAAACTCTTAGAAACCCATTAATGAAGCACAACAGTTAACAGTTCTCATCTTCACCCGCTTACCTCCTTACATTGAACTATTGCTAAATAGATTTCCGTAGATTCAAGCTTTTGGTTTAGCCAATTGGAATTCTCCCTGACAGAGAAGAAGGAACATGCAAACTGTAAAAGAGACTGCAGAGCAAATGAAGTCCACACACACACACACACTTTCCCTTTCTCTCTTGCAAAAGGACAGACGGAGGATGTGTCTACAATCGGGAAAGACTCACATTTCCTCCCTGAGGTTTCACATTCCTGGGATTCCGTCTGAGAACCGCTGCGGCCCATTTAAAACCATTCCCCATGTGGAGGAGGGGGGACCCTCAGCTGGCAATCGGGGTGGTGTTTTTGAGCTTTGAGAGCTCATTTCTCCGCTCATTTCTCCATTTCTACAATTCCAGGGTAATAAACCTGTTCACCACCATTCACATAATGACATTAGCAAAAATACCCGGATAGAAAACCTGCTATTGAATGCAGTGTGAATTAAAAATGGTTATGTACTGCATACATTTTAAAAGAATATAAAACACTAGCAGTGATTGATAAATAGACAAACTTTGAAATAAGAGTCTTTTAGTTGGGCAGTTATACCTGAACACGATGCATCATTTGGCTGATTGGGGTGGGTGCCTGGTGGAAATCTGGCCCCTGCACATATGTATTCATGCACAAAAGGCCATCTTGCTCCTGGAGGGCCACAGCTTCTCCGAGCTTCAGCATGGGCCTTCTTCCAAAATATCTATACCGAAAATAATGGGTGTGCCACGAAGTATAGCAGTAGATTTATCCCCTGAGAATACGAGAATGGCAATGGGATGCCAGATAAGATGTCGGCTGTTTTAAAACCATGGTCATTTGTGATTTCACATTCACTAAAGCCCAGCTATGAAGCCAGTTACACAGTAGGTTTCCTACCTGCGAAAATCCCAACGTAACATGACCACACAACAGGACCAGTCCTAATCGTGTAGGTCTTCGGTCAATGACGATACAGATAAAAATAAGAGTTAAATATACCCCTATAAATAGCAGTGAAGGACTAAAGTGATAGATGGACCCAATCACAGACATACGGGTGTTCGGTATGTAATCTAAGCTAACTTTTGAGAGAAAAGCATTAGCAAAGATGCCAAGGAACGTTGACGTTAAGTCAGCCAGCTAGTTAAACGCAACATTAATAGCGTCGCTGTGACGGCTAATGTTTGCTAACGAGCCGGGCTCATTGCCGCTCTCTCAAGGCTGCTTAAGCAGGAAATGGCGAGTTAACGTTACATTATGGAAGAAAGCAAGTCATTAAATGAGATTAATAAACCCAAAAATGTGACCAGATGAATGTGTGTATACCACACAAGACACATGTTCGGTAGGACCCTGAGCAGATGTTAGCCCGGTCGGCTAGCAGGCTAACTATCGCTGCCCAACGGCGCAGGAGAGTTTATATCTGCTTACCTGTCAACCGCAGCTTCACCGGGCCATTCCTCCTAACTCCTTGACTAGACATTCCCCTTTGTGTTCCAGCTTGATGAAAATGTACAAAAAGCGTCTAATTCATGTGTCGGCGTACGGTACTCGAAGATGTATTTCCAAAAACAATCCCTCTGCTAGCTGCGGGTAGCTCGTAGTATCACCATAGCAAATCACACAGACTGTGTGTGGAACATAATGGTATCATCGTCGCTGGAATATCACGCTTACGTGAGACACCTTTTCCTTGAAAAAAACCCGGCAACGCGCAATTTTTAAATAAGTCCTTTAAAGTTGAGCCCGCGGGTATTGATACAAATCAGCTAGACAGTTTGCCCTCCATCCAGACAGGCGTCTGCTCTCTCCGCGCTGCTTTAACTGAAGTTAGTTAGTCGCGGTGACGGTGAAGACCGAGCTAATGCGAGCACGCGCACATCCGGTACAACTTTTTTATCCGGCATTAATCTGGATACCTTGACATGGTTTGTGTTCGACATAAACGGGCTAGTTAGTAATGACTAGAAAATGCATGTTCTGTTGAAAATGCGTTGGAATGCAAAAAGCTGAAATTAATTTGAAAAAATAGCTGAAATTACAGAGAGTTGAAGGGAATTTGAATACATTTGCTGAAATTACAGATATTAGAAAATCTGAAATTAATTTGAAATTGCTGAAAATACAGAAATGGGAGAAGCTGCATGGAATTTCAATAGATTTGCTGAAAAAAAACTTGAAGAAATGAAAACAGCTGAAATAAATGTGAAATATTGCAAAAGAAATACAGAAATGAATATTAAAACATTGCTGTTAATACAGGCATAAGAAAAGCTGAAATTATTTTAAAGAACTGCTGAAAATACAGGAAGTGGGGAAGCTGAATTTCAATAGAATTTCTAAAAAATACAGAAATAACAAAAGCTGAGATGAATAAAAGGAGGTTTTAAATTGTTTGTATTAATATTAATAGCAGTATTAGTTATAGTTGTAATTGTGGTATTAGTAGTACTAACAGTAGAAGTCGGTTTAGTATCAATAGCAGTAGAAACAGCTGCAATACTAATACTATTAGCCATAGTAGTATTTGCAATAACATTAGTAGTAGTTGTAGTATTAATAGCAGTAGAAATACTAGTAGTATGGTAGTAGAAGTATCAGTTGTAGTACTACTAGAAGTACTAGTAATATTCTTAGGTTGTAGTGGTATTTGAAAGAGCAATACGTATTTCAATGAAATGGTTAAGGTACAGATAATCATTGAGGCTTTTATTTTGAGGCCCTTATTGGGAAAAAGTGTATTGTGGACTGTTTCTTTGAAGGTGTAGCAACACAAGCACTTTGGGACACTGGGTCACAGGTCACAATTATCAACGAAGAGTGGAGGAAGTCCTGTCTCCCACAGATAGCGCTACGGAGCATAAGTGAACTGCTGGGTGAGCATGAGACGCTTGTCGGCAAAGCTGCTAATCAAACACCTATCCCTTTTGCTGGCTGGGTCGAGTTGACGTTCCAGCTGGCATCGAGCAGGGGTCCACAGACAGAGTTACTCGTCCCAGTGCTGGTCTCTAACGAGCCAGGAGTAGCAGACCCACCGATCATTGGCTACAATGTAATCGAGCATCTGGTGATGAGTGGAATGGAGTAGCATCCGGAAACGACACCTACAGTGGTAAGAGAAGCTTTCTCCATAGACTGTAAAAAAGCAGATGTGTTGATTCATCTGGTGCAGGGCCGCGACCAGAATGACCAGGAAGGGGTGGTGAAAGTCGGGAGGACAGTGATCCCAGCAGGGTAGACCAGAGAGGTGAAGTGTAGTGTTAGGACAGGTCCCCTATCCATAAAACAGGAAGTACTTTTTGAACCGGAAGACATCCCAAAGCGGCCAGAGGGGTTGAGCATCACAGAAACTGTCATCTGCCTGCAGAAAGGAAATTTATCCAGAATAGCTATCCCTGTCTCCAATGAAAGCGACCATGCCATTACTCTCAACCCACATATAGTGCTGGGACAACTGCAACAGGTAAAAGCGACGTATCCAGTGGATATAAGACCAGTTCAGGCCAAGGATCCCACAGTCAGTACTGCCGGCAGTGAAACCAAAGCTAGTGCGAGTGATCCTAAAGTCAGTACAGCTCGTAATAGGAACACTGTCGAACAAGGTTTGTGGGACCCTCCAGTGCCGGTAGATCACTTGACTGCAGACCAGCAGGAAAATGTGAAACAAATGCTAAGGGAAGAATGTGCTACATTTTAAAAAGACGATAATGATGTTGGGTGCATCTCATCTCTGCAGTTGAAAATCAGATTGAGTGACACGACTCCTGTGAGACGGACCTACATCTCTGTACCCAAGCCGCTTCACAAGGAGGTGAAAGAGTATCTGGAGGACCTACTGAACAGAGAATGGATTAAGAAATCCCGGTCCCCATACTCCTCACCTCCTCACTCCTCGTCTGTGTGTGCAAGAAGGATGGTAGTTTGCGTCTGTGCGTGGAATACAGAGAGCTGAATCAAAAATCCATTCCTGATTGTCACCCTATCCCCGAGTACAAGACCTGCTAAATAGCCTCAGTGGGAGTGCATGGTTCTCTGCGCTGGACCAGGGCAAGGCTTATCATCAGGGTTTCCTGGAGGAGAGAGGAATGCCTGACAGGTCTCAGAGATGAAACATCGCAGACATACTTGAATGACAATCTTGTCCACAGCAAATCTTCAAGATTTGAGAAAGGTGCTGCGCCGTTATCAGGCACATGGAGTTAAACTCACCGCTAAAAAGTGTGAAGTATTTAAAGACAAAGTGAGACTCTTAGGGAAGATAGTGTCAAAAGATGGCTATTGCATGGTGTGCTGCCTTTTAGGCATTAGGCTTTTATTTTGTACAAGCTTTTATTTTGAAATGGTTTCATGCCTTAGGAGTTCCGGGGGTTAGTTTCCTGTTTGTGGTTAGAGAAACATGGTAGAATTACCCAACGTGCTTTCGTCATCCATGGCAATCCACATCGTAAATGCTGCAGAAGCAATGTCGTAAGTTGATAATTTCATTGTTTCATTGTTTTGTAATGTAAAAGTTAAAATGCATATTTACAGTAAAAGGGGATTTGATGACTGTAATTAAAAACATTTTATTCACATATGTTTACGTAGGACTAAACAATTTTGTAGTGATGGCAAAGTGAAGCTTTCTGAACCAGTGAAGCTTTCCAGCCAATTGTATCGGGAAAAGGTTCATTCATTCAATGCATCGCAAACTCTATGATGACCTCTGCTGTTGAAAACCTATAGTGCAAATGTTTCCCATAGCCTACCAGTATATTTTGGCCCAGTCTCTGTGGGTTGAACATGATTATGAAAGGTTGAACCAATAAATCATCTCATAAATACATGGATTCCTATATGAATAAAACTATTGTTTTTCAGCTTTGAATTGTGTCCTTGTTTGTGTATTTAAATTCTCTGTACATTGGGAAGAAGTGGAACAAACACTTATCTATGTCTTTCTGCACCTTTGTGCATGTATGTTTGTCATCATACTAGCAGAAGAATTAATAGAATATATATATATATATATAATGTTATATGTAGGTAATATAATTTAAAGCACCAGCAAGTGCTTCCTACTGCATGTGCAGTTCATGGCAGTTCATGGCAGTCAATTATGTGAATTGTTTGAATGTGGAATGTGGGAAGTGATTTATAGAGGAAAGGTCAGTGGGGCAGTGATTGTGCTTTTGGACAGGTTTCTTATGACAGGATATTGGATATTATTAACTTTGTAAAGAGCGTCTCCATGATTATCTCCGCCTTTACTCTTTCACTCGCTAGGTTGTCCTGTGCAGGTCCTGCAGGAGTCTCTAGAGGACTGCTGCTCTGGTGGTCGACAACTGAGGGCGGTGTCAAACTGTTTTCTAAAGCACTTCTCATCCTCTGAGCCAGTGGGGCGACCTGAGTTTTCTGCCACCACCGCAAAAGCCCCGTGAAGTTCCACACGCTGTACCATATCTCATTGTACATGGTAGCATTTGATGAGGATGCGCTATGGGCGGACGTTAAACTGGCCATCATCCGTTGGTCAGCCCCCGTGTGATGACCAGGGATTTACTTCTTGGAATTCTCTTCAACATTGGAGGCATACACTTCTGTTTTCCAAATTGTGCTTCGTCATCATCCAATCTCAGCAGCTCGGGGATGATGTCCTCTATGTGTTTCATCAATACGGGGCTGCATTCCATGTCTGAGTCCTTCTTGAATTTTCTCTTCATTTGATCCAGTATGCGATTTAGCCATGTTTTACTAAAGTGCAGTGTAAAAAAGCCCTTGACACTGCGTCCTTGTGTTTTCTTGTCTGTCCCCTCCGATTCCTGCAGTTCTTCGAGAACTCCCCGAGGAACAGTTGTTTCCAAGGAGCTGTCGACATGCAAGTTCTGAAAGTCAGCGTCTGACATGTCGTCCAAGAAAGGAAGCATGGTCTTATTCACCTCCCTCACAATTACTGCTTCCGGAGATTGAATGCTTTCCGTATCAGTCTGGCCGCCTGATGGGACATTCTTGTGGTTGTCAACTGCGTCTGAGGTTTCTGGAGACTCGTCATCTGTCCCATTCAGGTCAGGCACCAGCCTGTCTCTGAAAGTGGTTCTCTGTCTTCGCTCTCGAATTGTGAATTTCAGCTTTGCTGTAAACCTTTTTATCATTTTTGCGGCATGATTAACCATTCGGTTGAGTCTTGTGGGTGGAGTGATGTCCCCAGACTCTAACCTCTTCATTTATCATGCTACTAAACATTTCTGAGCTCTGATCCCTGATCTCGCCTTTGACGTCCAGGACATCTTTGAAGCCTTGCATCACAGTGTCACCCACGTCCTTGACTTCAGACATGCTTCTGGTCCTTAGATTGTTGAGCATGGCTTCTGTCAAGACTGTGACCATATTTAATATCATGTCGGCCAACAGCACTTTGGTGGTGCTGTCTGGGGTGCCATTTCGCAACAGTTCAAACTGTACTGGAGTCACACTCAATAAATGGCTTCAGGCTTACCACCCCCCCGAACTGTTACATTACTGGACGATAAAGTACAGCCTCTCGTACCTTACTGCTTAAATAAAGCTTTCAACGAATGATTATGAATACACACAGACAGGATTCTGTTGTTACAAGTGTTTATCAGTCATGGTCTCTCTTTGAGCATATTTTCTCCCTTCTGTATAAACAACAAGTTTCTGAACTTCTGAGCTGTGTGACACGAGGAAATTGATGCATCCTCTGTCTAGTTTTAACAGAGAGCGGAGGTGTATTTTATTTATTTGTGAGCTCTCAGCTGAATGAATGAATTTATTTATTTTTTCGAACACGTATAAAAGGGAAAGAATGTTACTACTTGTACACACAGAAAATACAAATTGTTAAAAAAAAAAATAGAACAACAAAGACACAACAGAAAAAAGAAAACTGTTCAAAAAAAAAGGAGTGGGAAGAAGCATGACACTTATTTGATGTCCCACTCCTTTTCAACTGCTCTTCAGCCTGTACCCACACAGAATACTACATAATACACCTACATACCACACATACACTTCACAAATATCCAATCACAAAAACAAACATAGACCACATGCATATCCCTGCAAACATACCTATAACATGTATATATATAAATATATATATTTTGTTATTTATTTATTTATATACATATATATTTATATACATACACATACTTACACTAAGAATAATAATATTTATTTAATAATAAGGGCATACCATATACATTATATATACTAAATGCAATATAACATATATATAGTGCTGTAGTTATACCAATCACCTTCTCTCTTCGTCACAGTACCTGTTGAGAATCACCAATTTGAGTCTTTTTTTCAAACAGAGTCTTGCTTGGACTTTGCTTCAGCTCTTTTTGAAGTTTGTTCCAGACCTTCACACCACTGACTGAAATGCACATTCTCTTCATGGTGGTTCGAACCCTCAAGGTTCTGAAGTTAAGGTTTTCCCTGTAATCAGAGCCCCCCACTCTATCAGTAAACACTTTTTGCATGTTATCTGGTAGTTGTCTATTTCTAGCTTTATACATCAGCATAGCAGTTTGAAATTCTACTAGATCTGGCTGTTTGAGGAAGCAGGACTGTATAAATAATAAGTCAGTATGGTCGTGGAATCCTGCCTTATGAACCATTCTGATGGCTCTTTTTTGTAATGTACATAACGGTCGCAGCAGGGTTTTATAGGTGTTGCCGCATACTTCCACACAGTAACTCAAGTAAGGCAAAATAAGTGAGCAATATAGAATATGTAGTGTAGCATAATTTAGAAATTGTTTAGCTTTGCTAAGAACAGCAATACTTGCTGGATATTTTAGACTGAATGTATTTAATATGCGGTTTCCAGCAAATCCTATGGTCTACCATCACACCCAAAAACTTAATTTCATTAACTCTCTCCACCGACACATTATCTATTAGGATTTGCAAATTTGTTTTGCTTTTGCAATTACTAAACAGCATAAACTTGGTCTTATCCAAGTTTAATGATAATCTATTCATATCCAACCATATCTTAAGTTGACTTAACTCTAAATTGATTTCAGACGAAAGCTGCTGCAAATTATCACCTGTACAAAGGTCCCAATACTGACCCCTGGGGGACACCTCAAACAATGTCCAAGCAAGATGACTGGTGGTCACCCGTTTGCACAAATTGTTGCCTGTTACTTAGATAGCTTTTCATCCAGTGCAGACTACTCCCCTGATACCATAGCGCTCTAATATCTTAATTCATATTTCATGATTTATTGTATCAAATGCTTTTTTGAGATCAATAAATATGCCAACTGCAGATTTCTTTTTGTCTAAGCAGCTGGTGACTTCTTCTATTAATTCAAGGACTGCCATTTCTGTGGATCTAGGAAGAATAGTCAAGATATAGGTGAGGTTATATGTTTAAGATCGAGTCAAAATGTATCTATGAGACTGAAACGTTTGGACTCTGGTAGCTTCTGTATTTATAAGTATGCATTTCAACGTTACATGTAAAACACAAAATTAACATTAAAGATTAAATCAGATGGACAGCGGGTTTGTTTTTGTTGATGCTTTATTAGTAGACTTCGTAATTAAAAAGAAAGAAGCAAATGAAATTGTGGATTGTAAAACACAATCTGCACATGCATTTTTTGATTAAATGTACGTTTTGCAAATGCAAACAAAGATAGAGCAACAGAGTGAAAGATACTACTAACTACTTTCAGGATCATAATCAAATCAGAGAGTGGCCCTCTCACCACTCTCAATGTCAGCTGCTGAACCTGATGGACCGACTGGCTTGGCGTACTTCCCCGTCCCGAGAAGGACCCCGTTTCTGGTGTGGAAGACCTTGGCCAGAGAGGAACTCATGGGGGACGGTATGTAGTCCTGACATTCGTCACCGCTGAGACTTGGTGCACACTCAACTTCGTACGAAAAGAAGAAGGTGCCGTAATCAAACATGCAAGAGTCCCTATGTTTCCCCTTATGCAAACCAAATGAGCACTCGCCTAAAAGATCACTATTCCAGTAGGAGTCCTCATCATAAACAGTGAACTGAAGTTTGTTTTTCATGTTGATGTGAATGCTTGCAAACTGAAAAGTCTCGGTCCATCGAGGATAGTCATTGTTACTAATGATGGCGGTGCGTTTAGTCTGATCTCCATATCTCACTTCCACTGAACCATCTGTCTGAGTCCACTTATCACCATACAGCCCATCTGCATAGAGCTTGAAGACCTTCAATGTTGCCAAACCTTTCCCAGCAGGACAGCAGTTATGCTGGATATTTGAATTACTGTCGCAAACACATGCACAAGGATCCTTTTTGCTGGATCTGTGACCAATCTGACAGGATCCTGAGCATTGTTTTAACACTGCGTTATCCACGATGTACTTCTCCACCTCCTGTTTCAGTTCAGCTCTGGCAGAATGATCAATTTGCAGTAAGGTGTGCAGGGGGTTTATGCTGTATTTCACCACATCAGGTAAGGTCTGCAGTGATTGTTGCCATTCTCTATAGACAGAGGAGCTAGATTGACCATTAAAGAGAATGTCCCCCCTAATGTCTCCACCGATGGTCTGCACTGCGCTCGTGAAACGTGCCGCTGAAACTTTGACCGAAGCCCAACTTCTTCTTCTTTGACTGACAGTGATTGAACATTGCCTTGATGCTGGCTATGTTTCCAAAGCCAACAGAAGCCTCAACGAACAAACAGTTAGCGACCTCTGTGGACGACAGTCCCTGCATGCTTGCCTGACAGGTCTTGACAGAAGTGATTGCTTTTATTTGCCCACCTAGAGACACTTGTGTTATGAAATGTGTACCATATGTGTCAATCAGACTGCGATAGTTTGATATTGCATTATGCGAATACGGTGGGAGGGAGTTCACAGCAGATTTAAAGTCTTTACTCAGTGGAGGACTTGATGTCATTCTGTAGCTGTGGAGCACAGGAAGTAAAATAATCAGCAACTGATAACGTTGTTCGCAAAATTACTGTCTATCCAGGACACTATGAAACAAACAATTTCTGTCAATTGGCATTGGCATTGTCAATACATGCATACTTGAGGCCAAAAAGACAAAAATCTGTCCATGTACTTACTTATACAAGGTACAGTCGACGGAATGGCGAACAAAGGTGTAGCGGTCTTCTTTTGACTTTTGCATGGCAAAGGTGGACTCTTTGGAGTGGGAACCTCCGAATCCGACGCCGAGAGTAACAGTAACAGAAGGGTCTACAGGAAATTTGAGGCCGATCTTCCAATCGTTGGACACAGCTGAGGTGGAGTCATTGACTAGAGTTTCAGCCGAATTGTAGACCAGACTGGAGACCTTCAAACTGCACTTCGGGAGGACTCTCCAGTCCAGCACGGCGGCTGGGACCTTCTGACTCGCTCCGTTCATGAAGTTGTTGTTATACATTCTGCAAGTGCCGTTGCCGAGATTCCATGTTTCCGTGTCGATGACATAGGCGCCTTTCCGCTCCATTTTGACGATGTCGAAGCCTTCTCCTCCCAGGTTGTAACCCGGGACAAAGCGAGCCTTCTCACACTGCTGCGGAGAACCAATGAAGGGCACACTGACTGACAGACACAGAAGGCTCCACGCCCAGCTCAGGAGCATGACATGCCACAGCCTCGCCATCTGTGTGGAGGAAAAATCAGAATAACACAGAATAAGTTGATCAATGTTGATTTCAGTGTGCTAGATAACTCAAATCAAGTCCCGGCTGCCCCATGTCCCATGTTGAAGTGTCCCTGAGAAAAGACACCTAACCCCTAATTGCTCCCCAGGCAAAAATGTAAAATGCCATGGGTTAAAATGTAATGTAAGTCGCTTTGGATAAAAGCGTCAGCTAAATGACCTGTAATGTAATGTAATGTAAAATCTAAACTTAGGGGTCTCACCGGGACTGTTGACAGCAAGCTCTGTTCTATGACCTACAATATCTGAACCCATTTATACTGTCGACGTGGAGGCGGAGTGTTGATTACCTGCGCATGTGATTTACACATATCTTCTCTTTTTAACCATCTGCATGTGTTTGCGGTTGAGCAATGTTTTTTGGCCTGTGGGTGGTTGTGAAAGATTGGGTGACAACGCACCTTTTCAAGTGTTGTTTGTCCTACTTTGATACATTTGTGTCAAACATTTGACCACATCATAGTTTATTTTTATCTTACCTGCATGTGTTCTAACTCTACTCTCATTTCAGATCCTCCCACATCCCCCCAACAGCTCATTACCCTCCCCTGGTTCTTCTTGCCCTCCTCCACTTATCATTTAAGCATGTCACATTCTGTTGTTTTCTGATAGATTGTCTTGTGTGTTTTCCAGCATTTTCTCAGTTAGCCTGATATACTTCTGTTCTGACCTTGCCTGTCTTTCGACCACCGGTTCCCTGTGTGCTCCTCCTCGGATTTACAGTAATTGCCTGCCTTATTGCCATCCTGGTTTCGACTGCGTGTTCTCGTCTACGGATTCCCCGCCTGCACCTCTGGTTTTGTTCGCCTGCTGACCGATCTCACGGTTCTGACCTTGCCTGAACTAATCGTTGTCTGAGTCGTGCTTTTGGGTTCCATTGTGCACCGGTACCAGTAAGCGCTCTAATTTGTTGTTTGAATGAAAAACAATACTCATACAAATTAAGCCACAGAGACTGCTCATTGATATCAAATGATTCAACTAAAACACGACACCGTTTGAAGTAGTAGAGCAAACTGCTTTTTATTGGTGGAATGTGGGATACGGTATTACAAAATGTAACTCCACCCTTTCTTGTTAAAGTATAAGCTGCTGGATGAAAAAGATGCACTGTGTACGGTAGCAAAAAGTTGTGCAAAATATAATACTCCTCCATTTACATTATTTTAAATGTGTTAAAAAAGCCACCAGCTAAATTCCAACAATTGGCAGACACTGTCAAAGTAACACTGCTTCTGTTTATTCTGTGACGGCCCTTTGGTTTTAAGCAGGGCCTTTGTTGATATTTGTTGATAATAAAGTACACATGCCATCTGCAACCATGTGTCTCTCCATTTCTGTCATGGCCCATGAGCCGGGTCGTGACAATTCTCATTTGTGGTGTTGGCCTTAAGTTAACGATAACCATCGACATGGTTATTGTGACTTCAATTGAGGGCTGTGTGGTCAATGTTTGTTTTAATAGTTTGTCTATTTCATTAAAACCATCTCAATCATTCATTCACATCGCTCAAGACGTCCACCTTAATTGTCCAGTTGCGAAAGCTCGCATTGCCTGAAAACGATCATTTGTGGGATTTCCGGTCTAATACCATAGATGGTAACGCTTAAACACTTGAACATGTTGTTAAAATACTGGGGACATCCCCAGACACGCACACAAACTTTACAAAACAACATGTTCTAATGCAGAGTTGGGGCTGCAAGCTTGAAGATGAATCCCACTTTAAAACACTATAAATAGACAAATCCTTAAATCTATATTTTGCCTAAAATGGTATATGCAATCATGAACCGTTACCAAAAAGCATCAAAAGATGATACATTTGTTAGATAGAATTGTGTGTATCTTAATAATGGTCATTTAATGTTTCACCATCACAGAGGAAACGTGTATCATGTTTCAATAGAACTTCGAACCACAATGTCTCACCTTTGGTGTTAGTTCAGTTGTGTTCGTCAGACACATTTATCACAGTCTTTAGTGAGTGAATTAATCAAATGTGTAAGCTGCGGTAAAAGTAGCTTTGTCCTATATGCGGGATTTTATACCAATAAAAGTAGCACCATAGTGGCAGCTATTCAGAGAAGTCCAATAAATTAGTGTAAAGAATCATACTATCTTTGCAGGTTGAACTCGTAACTACAAACTATGTACACTTGAATATATTGTGTGTGGGTCATTGGACCTTCAATCTCTTGCTTATTTGGGACATCAAAAGAAAAGAGCACCATCAGTCATGATTGTGTGTGGAACATTAGTGCTATTTCACATTCATGGCGGCACACAGTCTGCCGAGAGTTACTGCTAATTTTTGTTCGGCTTTTGTTAGATTTCTTGTGATTTTAATAGTTGTTTGTGTTTTTTGGCTCTTTACATACTGATTTTATTTTAAAGCTCTTTGTAACTTATTTTTAAAGGGTGCTATACATCTTAATCTATTCTCATTTTTTGTATAGGCGAGTGACATTTTAGATACAAAACAAAATCCAACTGTCTTTTTTAGAAAAACTAACTTTAAATTGCTAATGAATTTCAAAATGTGAAATGAATTACTTCATTGGTTTTAATCTGTTGACAGTTCTACTTTAGATATGTGGTGGTTGAATAAATGTAACTGAATTTATCATTTAGCAAGGAGAGTAAAAATCGAAGTTGTAACTTTAAACAGTCACAGTCATCTCGAGAGAAGAATACAACACTTCCTGTGTCACTCAACGACTCCGTGCTCTCTGTCAGGGCTGCAAGTTTGCAGATGCATCGCACCCGAAAACACATAAAGGAATCTCAAACTATACAATGGCTGATGTGTGAAATCATCACAAACTATTGTTTAACAACGTTTGTGGACTGCTTTATGTAGGAATAATCAAAGACGTATAACCTTACTTAGAAGACAATTCCCACAGAACGCTAGCAGCCCTTCAATACCACAGGAACTAAAATGTCAAACCTTGCCTGCCTCTCCCCCCTATTTGACACCTTTTCTCGTGGGGTTGCAGTAATGTAACTGCAATGAGGAAGCACAGTCTGTAAATGGAATTTTAGGTGGGTTTAAGTAGCACTCAACACCCACAACTGATTGTAAAAAACTTTTTATTACACCTCGAACATCTC